ATGCTATTTAATATAGCATGACAAATAGCTTGTTTTAAAGACATCATAAGTCTGAACATTTAAAGGAGTCATGAACTGGCTTTTTTTATTATTTTATACTGTTGTCTGAGGTCCACTTATGACGTTCCCGTGGCTTTTCTACCCTGGTTTTGAGGCCGGCTCGAGAAACGCTGGTTTTTATGGGCGTGCCGCATTGAAGACTTGGAAGTAAACGCCCACTGCTGTGATTGGATAATAGTTTTGCATAGAAAACTAAATTCAATTTTTGAATCTGAAGGAAGCTTATGCAGCGACGGTGTTCTTCCACAACCAGGCACTGCACAATATTTAGCGATCTTCAACGGCAAGTTTATTGCTTGGTTGTTCGATCTGGTTTAGCGTCACTTACGTTATTTCCCTACTATGTCATGCGCGAATCAGTGGGCGGGGCTACAGAATTAGGCAGTGTTTAACCTGTCTATTACATCATAGGTAAGCACATTCCAGGATCTGGCGTTCACTGGGCCTGGTGTCAAATAAAAGCTTTTATTTCAGTAACAAGGATGTTTTCAGTTCTGAAACTTACAGGATAGTCTTTGAGTACGATGACCTCTTATATATCAAAAGCTCAAGTAAAAGTTGATTTCTTAATTCATGACTCCTTTAGGCCAAAAATTGCACCCTGCTCATGAAATGTGCCAACTACAATCTTATTGTATTACGTATTCATATTAATAAAAATATTTATTAAGTGAACATGAAAGCGTTTCTGTGGGCCTGTCTATGGTGTTAGATCACACTTGGATCGATATTAGAGTCTCAGTATATATGATGAGTACATGAATACTGAGAGTATTTGTTTATTGTAAGATTTATGGATTGTCATTTCCGCTCTGAGAGAGGATTTAGACATCTGTATTAAGATACACTTCACTGCACTTGACTTTCACTCATACTATCAAGCGTGACACACACACACACACACATGCTCATCTTCTGCTGTGACGTAATGAATGGCTGCTGAGGTTGCAAACCGCTGTTATGAATCTGACATACATTTAGTTGCATCTAAAGACACACAAACTTGACTTTACACAAAGTATGAAGTATAATCCTGACATGTGCAGTTCTGCATGACAGCGAGCGATGACGTGTGTGTGTGTGTGTTTCTTTGTGTGTGAGTCATTGGTGAGACGTTTCCTGTAGTATTTAGTCATATATAGAGCCGTTTAAACAAAACTGATGCACACACACACCCTTGGTAACATGATCAGTAAGTTATTCTTAGGCTGAGACTGGGTAAGATACGGCTGACGGCTCTCGATCGATCACAACAAGTGTGTTTTCTGAAGCAGACCAAAGTGTGTGTGTGTGTGTATATTTTGTGTATGCTATAGGAGCCAGATGTCTTTTTTCCTCAAGGTTTTCCTGGTTTTCCATTTTGGTCTCGTGCGGATTAAAGGAATAATTTACACAAAAATTATAATTCTGTCATTTACTCACCCTCATGTCTTTCCAGACCCACATGACTTTCTTTCTTTCTTCTAATACAAAAGGTGAATGTTTAAAAAATATCCTGGTCTTTTCTATGTAATAGTTTATTATTATTATATTACTATATTATTAACCCTGTTTCCCAAGTTATTGGATGGATGGATAAATGTTATTATTATTATTATTATATGGGAAATATATGTTCATCAATAACTACAAACAGGAAACACATTTTGGTAAAAAGAAATTACAAATATTATTAAATAATAATAA